ACACATTCACCGAACTGGCCGCACTGGTTGTTGACGGGAAGTTCCAGGTGGTCGACAGTTGCAGCCGCCCCGCCCGCCATCGGCCGAAACGTGCGCCCACAGTGGGACGGCACTGAGCGACATTAGCTCGGCGGGCGCCGCGTGCAGCCGCGGCGGCCAGGTCAGGAAGTCCGGACTCCACGGGTTCATGTCGAATGGTGTGTCGTTCGAGCCATTCGGAATGAGCTCAATTTAGGTGCCGCCGCGCCCGGGCCGCCGTCGCCGACGCCTTAGACCGACACGGCCAATCGCGTGGCCGTTTGGAGCTTCGATCGACTTAGTTGTGACCGGTCGTTCAGGGCCGTCAGGCGAGGGAACAGCCTTTGACGGAATGATTGCCGGCTCGCATTTTGCCCGGGGCGCTGATTCTCGGAGCGGCGCCAGTGCTTTGTTCCTCCAGAATGTGGGGTGAACAGGTTGTGACCTTTGCCCGCCATCTGCCCCAGGGGGTCACCGGCCGCCGTGCGGGAGTGGATCCCACGGCCGCCTATTCCGGTCCGGCCTTGGTAACTCTGTCAATACATTCAGAGAATCTCCATAACCAAATCTCCACAGACAGCGACCGAACGCCTGGATGCGGTCTGATTCTGAGAAAAGATCAACATCATTCAGCCAAATGAATTTATAGCTACCACAGTTGGAACATAGTGATGTTTTATAAGTGTGTATGTGGGCAGCATAAAATTTTTATCAGGTGAGTTCCAGATAGCTTGATACCAGAATCCTGATTGCGATGGAAATACTGATCGAATGCTGCAATTGCTGAGTTATTATAAAGCGGGACCCGGTTTCAAGAGTGAGGGAGGCCATTTTCATGTGTCAAATGCGCTCATTGTTTCGGGTGTAACATGGTTAAGCTTGTGCCAAGACATCCTCTGTAGGTCTAGTGTAGTAAATACTCGTGACATTTTATGTGTCAGTGCAATTTTCGCGGAAAAGCAAAAATGTTACCAGACAACTAGTGCATATGATCATTTTGTTATACTGGATTTCACCGGACGTTTCCTCCTTCCGGTAGCACGGCGAGGCTCCCACCGGAGCAATATTGCATACACTGGCGACGGGTCGCCGGCAGCTAATTTCGACCGGCCAAAAAGGAACTGCACGGCCCAACACCCTAGACACGAGTTTCTACCTGACTGGAGCGGAATTTAATTAGATTCCCTCCCAGTAAAAGGATGAACTTGCGCGAAGTTTTCGTTTAATCACCGGCGTGGAGTAATGGGGCGGAGTGGCAACGGCAGAAATATGCAGATTCACGAGAAGGCCGGCGCGGCCGGTCGCCCTCGCCGTCCCGGGCCGCTGTCTGGCGGCCGCTGCTGGTACCGCCACCATCTCCGCCCGCGCCGCTGCCGATTGGATGTATATCGATACTATTGTAAGTTATTGTCCGACATCAGCAGCTCATCTATACGTGGGAGACAAATGTGTGTCATTTCTCTCCGGGCGAGGTGAACCATTGGCGCCCCGGCGGTCTCTGTGATGAAGGGGCGCTGGCCAGTGGCGCGTGTCGGGCGCCTCCTTTCCCAGACCGATCCCTCTGTCCCCCCCCCCCCCCTCCGTCTCCGTCCGGTCCCGTCTGGTCGACCGGCGCTGACGCCGGTCAGGAGACCGATCGGCCGACCACTACCGCCAATGACGGCCCATTGTTCCAGTAAACGAACAATTCCACCGCAACCATTGGTTTTGGACTCTAAATGGCTCTCCGGAGTAATGAACAGAGAATTCCGAATCCTGAAAGTGTTCCACTTATTCTTCGGACGTCAATGCCGCTTCTGTAACCCAGCGAAATTCGTTTGTGAACTGCAAATTGAGAATCGCAATTATAGATGATTGTTCTCAGTTAGTATTCTCATTGCTATACCTACCTTGGTTTGATTTTGTCCTTTCATTACCCAAAAGTCTCTCTTTGCCCCCTCTGCAGCCCCGTTCCATCGCCAGTCCGGCGCCACCGCCAGTCCAGCCTCAGGCCATCGCCGAGTCATGCGGCACAGTATGTGTTCAGGCGCAGACGCTGCTGCCATCTAGCGACAAGAATGTGATCTATCGAACATCGGCCCTGCTTTTGTAGGGTTTTCCCGTAAATCTAAGCTTTTGTGTGAGCTTTTTAAGTGTTGCTTAGGTAGGATTATTTAACGTTAATGGAGTGCAGTTAGCCATGTCGTTTTTGGGCCGTATGGAAGCCCATATATCAGTACATAGCTCATAAAGATGTAGAAAGAAGTTTACGAGCTACTTCTACTCACACTGTCCCCATTTTCATACACTAACGGGCAGTGTATCGCGTGCCCAATGTTTGTAGAGTGTTTCCCCACGACAGCCAGCCCCATTCCATAGTGGAGGTTTGTGCTTCGTACGGCCGCCGCACGGGCCGTAAGTACGTAGCTTACACGGTGCCGTCTGCAGGGTCTGTCACGGTAGCTGCGCTGTCCAGTAACACCGGTGGCGTGCCACAAGACAGACCGCTAAATATTTCAGCGCCATAATGAAGTGGACTGTACTCTTGAGTTGTTTGATGAAAATTGAACGACCGCTCGTTAATTGAGACACGTTTGTCGCTGACACGTGACACTCGTTACTCGGCGGACGGCATGGATAACGAAAATGTGACGTGACGTGACACATGTGACGGCTGTGGGGTGTCTCGACAGGGATTACTGTGGGTCGGGGCGCCGCCTCACCTGAATTGCTCGTCGGCTGACCGTCCCGGTAGTGGGCTGGTGGCAGCGCACTTGTTCTGATGAGGAGACTGAGGGCTGTTACTGTCAGACAGCGACTGTGAGGTGATTGCGTACGCACTTGGTCACGACAGACCTGGAGAGGCCCTCTGTAATCCAGTCCAGCTGTGTTTAATCCACATCCCTAATGACGCTAGGCATCCGAATAAATGGAAAAGACTGCCGGCTCGCTCCCGGAATATTAATAACGGTAATATTTTTAATTACATGTCTCGCCGATTGATAAATGGTGTTCCAGCTGGCCGACCAGACTCGCTCGCCGCGGGGAGTGCTCCCGGGTCGTTCCCCGGCCGTTATCAGACCCCCACCATACGCCACAGCGCACACACACAGGGCCTGTCGACGGGGAAAGCCGGTCTGTTCCCGTCAGCGGCGCTGCCCGAGCGAATCACCGGGCAGAGCAGAGCGGCCACGGCGCCTAACGAGATTAGAGCGACGGCCGGCGTTTGCATACGGCGGCGATTTTTCACGTTCGAGGGGCGTGCCTCTGCCACAGGACGAGAGGGTCTGATGGACTGGCGAGACGCTGGGCAGGCGGGCTGATTGAGAGGGGAGAGGGAGGGAGGCCAGGGGACCGGGTAAAAGGTGTGAAAGGGCGACCCTCTGGCATCTGACGGGTGCGAGGGAAGGATTTTAACCGAGCAATCTTCACAAGGAAAGCTCCCTCGTCCCTGGGGAAAGTCCGGAAGACGCGTTCAATTGGATTGGTGTGATGCGGTTGATTCACACGTTGACGACCACCGGTGGCGCGTATTTTAGAGGCAAATCAATGGCGATAAGTCATGCAGACTAGCCGAAAATAGACATGATAACCAGGCGATCAGCTGGGTGATCCCGGCGGACGGCCGTCATCACCGACCACGTCACCGATGTCGTCATGGCTCGTATCGCCGCCGGCGTCATCGCGGCGGCCGGGTCAGGAAGGAGGTCTTCCCCAGCGGCTGGCCTTCCCCTGTGTTCGGCTCGGTCTGCCCACCACAGCCGCCGGCGAAGCCCTGTTGTTGACGCGTTGTACGCGCGGACAGCACGTACTCGGGGCCGGACCGTGACGAATGAGAAACAGCACGCCGTGACTGTTTTGCTCGTGACGTGACGTATGAGAGACAGCAAACACGTGACGCTCTGCAGCGAGGTTAGCGGCTCGTGACGGTGTCACTCTGACGGTGCGTGATGGAGATGATTTGTCGTCTCGGCGCGATGTGACGACAGACGGAGACGATCGGTCGAGACGGTGACTGTAGTAGCGCATGACGTGACGTGTATCGGACTATCGTGACACGCCTGTGACGCACTGTGACTCGTCGTGACTCGCTGTGACTCACGCGCGACGCACTTGGGGTATCGCAGCCGACCTGCGTGGTCGACCCGCTTTCACCTACCGGTGTCTCGGGGCGCTGTCCAGCACCCAACTCGCGACGGCCGGTCGGCGAACCGTTTTAACACCGACCGATACCATCTCGGCTGCTGGGGCTGCTGACCGGGACTCTGTTGGGAGAGTAGGGTGCGTAGTGCGCACATCAGAGGCTGCCCGGCTATCTAAGAGTGCACAGGGCGGCGGCAGACACAAAGCTGCGGTGGCGTAGCTGCTGTGATTCAGTGAGTGTCGAGAGGAGGCTATCAGTTGGGACATTCCGCACAGTCTTGGCGGGTGGCCAGCAGCAGCGCAGTTGTCGCAACAATGACATGTTTGCGGTACAGTCACTGGGTCGTTATGTTTCTGTGTACGGCCGATATCATTTCGGAACCAGGTGACAAAGAAGGTGAACGCGAATGCTTCACAGGAAGTCGGTGACCAATTTACGGTCTGACAGTTATGTGGGGTTGTTTGCGAATCGAAAATACCAATCAGCAGGCGCCATCCTGTGACGATCGTCAGTGGAAGGTCTGCCGACAGACGTCGAGCCCTACACTTTACTTGTTTTTGTACTATACCAGATGCCCCTATTCGGCTAGCTACCACATTTGGAATCTCCTTTTCTGTTCCCGGTAAGAAGATGCCGATTCCCATTGTCCTGACGACTCTGTTCCGTCGCTCACCCCCCGACGTCGCAGTGCTGCGGGGACAGCCCCCAGACCGCCCTGCCGTCCGTCCAGGGGACCGTCGCGTCGGCCTGCGTCGGTCGGCCGTGCTATCGTCGGCCGGTGAGCAGACGTCGGTGCGCTATCAGGACCGATAGGGGCCCACCGCCGCGGCGCCGCACCGTGTGTGCGCGAGCCGCCAATGTTGATTCACCGTCCGCCGGCTGCCGGCCTCTGTTTGCGCCGCCGAGTCGGCGTGGATGCGGCGAACCCGGCGCGCGGAGCCGACCACGCGGCCGTCAGTGCTGGCTGGGACGCGGTGCTGCGAGCTGGGAGCTGCGGGGTGCTGAACGGGCCGCGTTGCTGAGAGGTGGGAGCTGCTGAGAGAAGCTGAGGGGTGCTGAACGGCCCGCGCTGCTGGGAGCTGAGAGCTGCTGAGCGTGACGCCGAGTGAGTGGACCGTTGAGCCCTGAGGGAGGCTGTGCACTGTGCAGGGATCGCAGTGTTTGTGTGAAAACTGAGGAGGTGGACTGCGGATTAGCAGAAGTGGACCGTGAGGACTAGCCGAGGTGGACCGTGTGGACGGACGGAGGTCCACCGGTATTGCACCGAACCCGGATCGGAAGTGGTCCGTTCGATTGCAGTCGAGTGGTCAGTCCGGTCGACCGCGTCTTCTGATAACAAACGGAGCAGCGACACCTGTCCCACCGAACAGGTGACTCGGTGTGCACGTGCAGGGAGAGGTGTAGTGAGAGTTGATTGTCGCAGCAAGATCTACAGCCAAACGCCAACTAACACAGACAGCAACAAAACGGGCCTCCTCTCGGCGTGTTGCACCGCTGCTTCATTCGCGGTGAGTTTATCTGTGGACGCATAAACGAGACCTATGATCGCATTGCGCATTACTGTGATGACATGTTTTGTCATGCATTCCAATAACCTCAATGTAGCTGACCACTGATCGTTCAGTCTCACGCGGGGACAAGGCCGCTGTGAGGTATTCCAGTCCGGCCCGTCTCGTATCGTCTCACGGAGTTTCCTCACTTTCGTCACGGCAGCGCTATAGCCCGACGAACGAGGAGTTACGCCACACGGAGAGAGAATGTCACCAACTGGAGCCAGTTGCGCTCGTTAAAAACGCTCCCCGACTGCAGAGGTGATGTAAGCAGTCGCACTAATAGAGCCTCCTTACCGCCACTGATTGACGGGAACGTGTGACGTGCGAAGGGGAATTTTTCTATCTGTCAGGTAGTGATCTTGCATTCGGTTCCTTCGATTCCTGCCATTTTCCTTGTCTGGTAGTGAATTGACGTCTCGGCCGAGAGCTGCCTTGCTCCTTGTCATGTTGCGGCTCTAACCGCAAGACACTACCGCAGTTAATCCTCAGTTTGTTCGTGTTAAAATTCCGCCTGATACAGGCTGTTCTGTGATTAGTGGAGCTTCGCGCCGCTGTGGTTTTTAATGTAGACGTGATGTAGAAAGGACGCTGTGTGGTTTGCTCCGACTTCTGAGAACGTTTCGCGGCCGAGGTGCAGTGTTCCAAGAAGCCTTGAAGGAGGTCTGTTTGCAATCGCCAACCTTCCCGTGCTAGATCACCTGCAGGAGACTGGAGAGTGGACAAATTACATCGCTTATAAAACACGAGTCACGGAAAAAGTTCCTACTTTCATTTTCTATACTACGGAATGAAATAAGAACCTAGGGATGATGTCACACCATTTCTCCACCTGTCTTCCTTCTCAATGTCCGATAGTTATCTATATTATTATTTTATTTAATGTGATTTACACGAGTGTTTCCCATTCAGTGCCGAGTGCGGTTGGCTGGCCGGCACCGCCCGCCTCTGCATAGATCACCCCGGGGGACTGGTGCCCTCGGTAACCTATCCAGGTGTCCGTTTTGACCCCGTAATTATCGGCCGGTGACGCAGCTGGTAACGACCTGAGCTCATGTCCGGACGGCACACCTGCCGGCCTGACCTGACCGGGGCAGTGGCGCCGACACTGGTCCACGCTATAGCCGCAGGCTCATTTATATGAATATTCATACGGTCACGTACAGTCGGAGCTGTCAATCAGAATGTGTTAATTTCTGGAACAAAGCGACAGTGCACCTGTAAGGCAGTTATATCGAGCCGGAGCGTTTCGTGCCGTGTGATAACAGCCTCAGTTTGTGAAGGAGCAGGTGTGTTATCTTTTGACATGTTGCATGTCAGCGGTAGAAAAATCAGCACCACATGCACTCCGTCCGGAAGCTATAATTTATTTGCGTGCTGACTGACGGCGATTTTATATCAAAGAAATGTTAATGCGGTGGCCAGCTCAGGCGTTGTTTATCATACTGACGTATGCATTCTCGGCGTTTTGCACAGGCGGTGTTGTGTTGACCTTTATTTAATCCAGTTGGGAGGTCATTTTTATGTCCACCTGTTTCTAGCGTTTTACAATCCTGTTAGAATTGGCTACCATTTCCTTGCTGTCGTAAGTGGATGGCCAATTGGCCAGATATGCGGCCCCGCTGCAGTAGTGTCCATTTTTGTCGGTTACGTCGACCCTAAGTCCTCGGTAGTCCGTAAGCTCACAGTGCCGAAACTTTGGACGTATGGATTACACAGGAACGGCCACTTAGGTACTTGCATGGATGGGCGACTATGTCATTTGAAGTGGAATGTGTTGCAGGGATTTGGTACCTTTTCCTGTCATGATGTTGGACATGATGACTACCTACTACACATATCATTGCCATTTCTGTTACGACGCTGTCAACCCTTCTTCAATTCTTGTATAGTCTGAATATCCAGCTGATTTATGTAATACGGCTTTTCGAAGTATGCCGCACGTGGGCACTACCTGCACAGGCCCCCATGGACAGTCGTCATGACCCGTGGGCAATCACACACCAGCATCGCCCCCGGTGGTGCAACGGGGAATCGCGTGGGCTAATTTACACCGTCTGTCGCCGGCGGTCCGCTAAGCTGATAAATATGCATTACCTGAGACGTGAGCAGCATCGGCCTGGTCGGTCGTGTAATGGGAATTCGTTTCGGAGTGGGTCCGGACCGGCTTTTTACGGAGGATCTTCAGCTGAAGTGTGGGTTGGTTGGATGGTTGGGTTCTTTCTTCCCACTCGCGCCTTGCTGCCGGGCGGGTGGGTATGGAGAATGACGGGAATTCGTCGCGGTGGGGATTGGGACTGCTGATTAGACACTCACTGGTCATGGTCTCTCCTCTCTCCTCTATCCGCCCGTGACACCAATCCGCGGCCCGCGGGATGCGCTCACTTAGCCCTTTGAATCGGCCATTCCCGTTCCCCAGCTACCCTTCACCCGACAAAAGCACTGAAAGAGCATTCCCATTGCCTTACGTGAAATGCTCCTCTTTCCGGAGCCTGGTAACTCCTTGGTGACACCACGACCTCTCAGTGTGCGGGATTCTCTCCTAACACCTCTCTGAACTCCGGAACTCTCTCCTGTCTCAGTGCCTCTGGTTCGGACTTTGGTATTGCTCCCCCTCTCATCGGTATTGCATCGGTATCTCGGTATTGCTCATCCCTCTCTCCAGTTTCAGCCTCCTTAGCCCGGTATTACGTCCGTTCCTTCCCCAGTTACGCAGCTAAATCTCTCGTCCGCTATTACGCCCCTGTCCCTCCCCAGTTACGCAGCCGCTCGTGCGTGGGACCTGCGCGCCCCCCGGGGGACACGGGCCGTCAGAGCAGGCGGCTTCTCAATCGGTCATATGGGCCAGGCAGCGGCAGCCGCGGCTGTCCCCAAGCCCCGGGAGGGCCGGCGAAAAGCTGCTCGCTGACACCAATCAGCACGGGAGGCGGCGTTGGACTGCGTGTGTCGGTCCCCCGCACTGTGCAGGGAAGTTAATTGAAGATGATGCATCCTGCGGGCGTGACTCCGGGGGCGACAGTGAAATCCTTGTGTGGGATGTTGCTATAAGTAGTTGGGATGTCTTGGGGTGAGGTCGAAACGCCCTGTACCTAAGGAGTAAGGACTGCTCCATTGTCTTTGCTTCGCGGATGAAGTCGGGATGTTCCCTGTCTGTGTTAGGGCACGACAGGGAGAGGACTTTTAAAGGATTCCGCTTGCCTTTTAAGGTATTCTGTCATCACACTTCCCTATTACTGTCCGCTGTACCGTTAATCACACCGGGCGATGAGCAGCGCCTAAAACCCGCCTCATCATGTCGTGCGGTGTTCTTGAGTGACGTCTCCGACTCCTGGGCTACAGTCGGCTGGCCTGGTGGACACCTGACCTCTCAGCTGCGCGGGAGGCGGCTGCAGCCGACACTGGGCAGCGCCCCGCCGAGCGCTCTGTTCAGACGGGTCACTGCGGATAGTGAGGGTCACTGAGGGTCACCAGAGGTCAGCGGTGACCCGGGGCGGTGTGCGCCGCACGTGCAGCGGTACTCTGCTAGGAGACAGTGGGGAGATCGACAGATAACTGACTGAACTGGGAGTGACAGTTCTGTATGGTAAACGATGAATGTAGAGAGCGCAGCCTGTCGACTTTTTAAAAATACGACGGACTTGCCATTATCAAATGCTAGAACAAAATTTATGCAGCAGCGGTGATGCATGATAGGTATTTGATAATCGTTATTGGGTTAATAATGAAGATAGTGCGGATCGTTTCAGCTGTCGGAGAGCTCTTATCTGGTCAAACATATCCATTACCCAGGTACTCAGCTACACACCGACCATTCTGTTAGGTCATGGGTACCTTTCCATCTCACGAGGCATCTGACTGTCATATAGCGTGTGTCATCCCTGTCCTCTGCCCCTGCCACCCAGGAGATGGACGCTCCTGGTGGCATCTATGTCAGATGAGATAGCGGCTGGGAACGAGCAGGCAGGCTCGGCGCTATCTTATCGCACCTCTCGCTCGCACACACACACACACCTATCCGCGTATATGTGCGTTCTAGCGCACGCGGGTGGGCGGGGGCGGAGGCGGAGGGTCCCTGTTATCGGCGGTCCCATGACCCGCGACGGCCGGCCGGCCGGTGGCGGCTCGCTGATGGATTGGGCTGGCGATGAGGGCTGCTGTGCGGGAGCCGTGTTTACCACCTGAACAGCGCCAGAAAACCGGATACCTACCTGCTGGTGCGGGTGGTGGTGGGAATGATGATTTGATCGGACGGGATGGAAATACCGCCGTGATAGTAACGATGATTCACTTGTTATTTGTTGTTCGGAGGGATGACGTTAATTTGTAGGTTACCTACACTTTGCACTCCCAACGGAATGGTGCCTTCTCTTGATTTAGAACATGCATTTCTGAAGAGAAATAACTATCGTTCGACTTTCGAAATGCTACTACTCAGGAAAAAGCTACGCTCGGGTCGCTGCCAAGTGCCAACCAGCGGTTACAATTCGTTCCGATTAAAAATGCTGACGGATACCTATTGAGTTCACTATCGGCTCATCAGCGCTCTCTGATTTTTCTCTGTCGTCAGCTCCACACTGCGCCAGTGTTCGGTCGCACTGCTCCATTTGAATTTCCTCCGCTCTCGGTCTGAGAACTAGCTTTTGATGTTCGCCAACTCACATTGGGCGGATGTTGTCGCTGTAATCGGGTACCTATGCATATTCAGCGGTATCGCCTCCCATCCGATTGCAGCGACCCGAGCAGTGTTGCAGCTAATTTGGTGATAAACGGCCCATTTCCAGTGTCATTAAGACTGCGCTGTGGCGATCTCTCTCACTTCATTAGCGGAAACGACTGCTCCGCTGTCCGACGGGTAACTTGGGTGGGCCCGCGGCCGGGATGGAGCCGTCGATAGTGTCCGTCTCGGCCCCGCCCTTTGCCGGCCGCCCCGCCTCTGGCCAACCCCCGCACACTGGTCG